GAGTCTGAACCTCCAAGAATATCAGTGGTAACAAAAGAAGAGTAGTCGACAACAATTGACCTATGCATGATCGTTCCGAAGGGGGGAATAAAGTGAAGCAAACTTCAAAACAATTTTCTTCCAAGTCTAGAAATATTAACTTAAAATGTTGCTTATAAAAGAGTTAGTTGATCCGCTGCTTGTAGAGAAGCTACAACCTTTGAAGTCTGTAAACTTTTAGGGCGTTTGCAAGCCATACACATTCCATCCGTGCGGTAAGCATTCGAATCAGACTTATTACGGTGAATGCCCGGAAAAATCATATCCGACGCCAAAGTGCATCCAGCAGTGTCAGCGCGGATATTTTGTTCCCTACAATCAAGACAAAGTTTATGGTAAGTTTCGTATGATTAAAAACAACAACAGCATAACATCTTTTATCTCATGATGGACAATATCTCAGCAAAAAATTTCTACTGGATAGAAGCAAACGAAACAGCTATCCAAAAAGAAATCATGACAAATGGACCAGTACAGTCAGCATTTGATACCTATACGGATTTTCGCAACTATACAGGAGGCATTTACGAAGTTGGTGCTTCTTTTTAGCTGTCTGTCTAAACAATTGTGGGATGACTTTTTTCTTTGTCTTTTTTTCCTCAAAAAAGTATGATAGTGCAATTGAACCTTGTCATATTTTTCTTGAATCTTCCCTGTTTTAGCACATAGCTGCACCACGCAGAGGAGGTCATGCCATCAAAATCATTGGCTGGGGAAAAACGGAAAACGGAACGAAGTACTGGACCATTGCTAATTCCTGGAGCGTCGACTGGGGAGAAAAAGGTAGGCTTCCTCATTTTTTGTTATGGATTTTTGCTTTGCCTTGAAGTCTTGAATGCTTTTTTTAGACTATGAAATTGCATAGAAGCTAGCGAACTTTTTCTTTAATATTGCCCTGGAAACTTCCGAGCAATAAATCATTTTTGCCACTTATCCGGATAGATGACATCCTCGTATCTCTCTGAAACCTTTTTTTCTTCAGGTTTCTTCCGTATGATCAGAGGTAAAAACAATTGTAGAATTGAATCACTGGCAAAAGCTGGAATGATGGATGTGTAAGCTCAAGATATCTTGGACTAAGACTGACTCCCACAAGTTGCTTCATTGCTTCTGATGCTGTGCCCAAATTTTGTGACTTTTACCATTAATTCACTTGCTCTAATGGAAAACAATCCATGTTTTACGCAAGTTGTGTATAAAAAATAAAGATTCCTTCAGGGTCTGGAAAGGGAGATCGCGCCGAACTGGGGAAGTTAGTGCATCGAACTAGTCGATTTATGAAATGTGCGTGCTATTCGATTTCTCAAGTATGGAATAAAGAAAAAGCGGGCAAGGAAGACACTTGGAAAATAAAGAGAAAGGAGGGCAGAGCGCAAATATCTAGTCGAACATAAGCGGAGAATGCAAGCCATTGCAAGAAACTTGTTTTTCCTACAATTTCTCGGCTAACTTGCTAGAAATAGCTTAAAAAGATTGAAAAAGGAAGTATTTTGATTGCGTATCTGTCCTTCGAGCCCTGGAAAGTCTAAATCTATCAAAACAACTTTTATTGTTCGATGAATCAGCAAGAAACTGAAGTTTTTCGTATTATTTTGGCCGAACCAACATTGATGGAACTGCGGAATTGGAGCTTTACCATCAGCAAATGATAGCGGTACAGCCGCTGTCATTCACAACATGGTTGATTTAGGGTTCAAAAATCTGTTTTTGCGAATCCGAATGATTGCGCTTTCGTCGGTTGCTCAAGTGCGGAATACTGGAGGCAAAGAAGTAGTTGCAATCTGACCTTCTAGATACTTGTGCAGGAAGTTTCAAAGTTGCAAAATAAAGGGTCAGATCCGTTAGTAGGGCCGAGAAGGAAGAGTATAGTGATTTAGACTCATCTGAACCAATATATTCATCAGGTCAAGTTTGCTTTAAATTTAAATTTGCGCACCAGTTCGGCGTAATACGCTACTGGCTAACGTACTTGTCACATCTCACAATATGACTGCCCTTCCTCAAACTTGTCATGGCTGCACCTTTACTTGGTTACCCTTCAGTATTAACCAAAGGATCTTCTTATCTAAGGTTTTGTCTTTGCAATATGAAGTTTTTGACTGCCTCTCTACAATATACACGTTTACTAGATTTCGGCGTTATAAGCAGTTCATCCGTGCTCACAATTTTGTCCTAAAATTAAATATATTCTCAACTACTTTTTTGTGTGCGATAATATGTTTTGAGTCCGTTGTAAATTATCCTAAACAAAATCAAAATAAAACTTAGACCTTAAAAATGTGCCTTGAAATGATGTAGTACATGTCGTATAAACACGAACTTTTAATTGAAAACCGATTAGTAACGTGTCAGTGCTGTCTCTCTGTCTCTTATGATCGTTTCAATAACCACGAGAAAAGCAAAAAGCACTTATCAGTTTATAAAGTCATCTTCACAATGAGTAAAAACGAGCTATTTTGTAAAAGGTCTGTGCATCAATTGTTAATGTAATGGGTTAGCAGTGAAGAACGATAGCTTTTACGCCCAGCGAGGTGCTGAAAGATAGTGTTTCGAAAAAAAGGATTAACTATTGGCAGACCTCAGCGGCAGGTCGGCGTGCAACTGGGAACCGTTGAGGAGAAGAGTACGAGATTCGGAAACGAAGGGTCGTAGTTTCCCTTCCGCCTTCCACAATGGTCACTTTACAATCGTCTTCGATAACTCTATATCATATAACTAAAATGCCCACAATTCTGCTTTTGGGTACGCTGTTACGCGGGATCAAATACACACTAGGAATAATTCAGTTCTTTTCTAAGCGAGTATAGATTGAAGTACCTCCAAATTTGGAAAGAAGATCGCGCAAGGAGATCAAGGTTTGTATGCATATTCCTCAAAATATGAAAAAAATTGCCATACCTTTTTCGATTTATCCTTAAAAAGTTTTCAGGCAAAGGCGAAAGTAAAGCTTGAGTCCCGACCAGCAATTTTTTCGCTTTTCATAATTTTGCTTTTTTAAACCGAATATTTTCTATGCACCAAGGCTCAATTTATGTGGCAATAATTAGATCAAAGCGCTTCCTCTCTTCTTTGCTAAGACCTTGAATCTTTTTTTTTCCTAGCGAAGAAAACGCGCTCCAAACAAACAGCGATTCTTATCCTGCCTGCACATACATTGGGAATTTGAGGAAATTTCGAATATTCGAATAATCGAATAATTCGAAAATAATATTTTTCGAATATTCGAATTTTCGAATA